AAATAAAGAAGAGTTGTTGGCACCTTTCAGAGGCAAGCGTTGTCCAGGAAATCATGTGCACGCCAATGCTTGTAACAAAGAGCTAGCAAGGGCGGCACAGTATACCTACAGAATGCAGTCACTGATCGTTGATGCGGTGCAAATCGCCAAAGACCTGTTTGCTTACGGTCGCGATCCATTCGCGAATCGTGAACGCAGCTATGCGTTCGTAACAAACAGTGCTGGCTACGACTTGGACGACCCAACAATCCGGAGACACCCAAACGGAGAAATCTGTCGACCACCACCTGGCGGTCTTGGGTGCCCTGGCTGTGTGGACAACAACTACAAGCAATCACCAAAGCACAGTAGGGATCCGAAGATGTGTCGGTGGTATGATGTTGAACCGTATTACTGGGACTGTCCAAGCTGTAAGAAGGAATATCAGAAGAGCAATCCTCACCACACCAAGATATCTGGCCAATGCAGATTCGCCGAAAAATGGAAGCTGCCAGATAACTTTGGCCAGCCGCGCCCGGCGGGACAAGCCGCCCCTGCGGCGCCAGCCGCGGAAGCGGCTCCGGCCGCAGAAGCGGCGCCAGCCGCAAAAGCGGCGCCGGCCGCGAGAGCGCGCATACGCGCGCCTAGGCCGCCACGGCCTGGTGAGGGCGACCCAACCGCAGGCGCCAGCAGCCATGACATCACCAGAGCTGACGGGGCTACTGGTGGCAACAGTGGTGCTGGCAGTTCTGACGATCACCGTAGACTGCCACAAGTTGCAGCAAGGCGCGGACGCATGGAGGGAGGAGATCCTCCACCACCGCCGCAGCCTCAAGCAGAGCCGAGGCCAAGGCCCAGGCTCCCTGATTGGACTCGCTTCGACGTTCAGCTCAGCCTCCAAAACCTGCGCAGCTTCGACCCAGCTGTAGTGCAGCGAGAACTCCGCAAACTCCACCTGAGATGGTTTCATGCTAAGGAGCCAAAAATGCGGATGATTCTAACCAAGGTTGGTCTGGGTGAATCCCGTTTGAGTCTGATCAAAGGCATTTGTGACTCGTGTAGGGAATGTCGAGCCTGGGACAAACCAGGCAACACGGTGATGCCTTCTGTGTCACTGCCAGGACGTTTCAACGAGGAAGTCGAATGTGATCTCTTCTTTTATAAACAGGAACATATTGTTTTTCACATCATCGACCGTTGTATTCGCTGGGCAGCTGGCACAGAGATTCCTGATAAAGCTATGCATACTGTTCTCGATGCCTATCATACGACTTGGATGCAGCATGGCCCTGCTAAAATCTTATACTCCGATGGGGAAGGAGCACTGAATAATGATACGGCAAAGGCCATCCTTAAGGCTAAGGGAACAGAGCTTCGTATTCGAGCGCGTGGCCAACACGCTACAACTATCGAAGCTAGGAACGGCATCCTGCGACACCTCCTACACGTGATGGGAGAAGAATTGAATAGATTAAATATCCCTCTCAATTTCACTCGTCTCTTACATGAAGCCTTGTTTGCCAGCAACGCATTTACCTTCTATAATGAAGTGTCTCCGTACAATGCGCTGTATGGTAGACAGCCAGCTATGCTTCCTGATTTCCCTGTCTTGGATCATGATCAGCCCACTGAATCATCAGATCACTCAAGGGAAGAAACAATCAGGAGGGTTAGTCTGGAGGCAATCACGCAGGCCACTGCGGTTGCCAAGACGAACAGGGCTCTCCGTACAAAGACTACTGCTACGGGTGAATTTCACTATAAAGAGGGAGATCTCGTGGACTATCATCGCCCGACCACCACGAAAGACGACTGGGGTGGATGGAGTGGTCCATACCCGGTCATCCGCAACGAACCTGACCGAGGCCAGGTCATCGTGAAGGTCGGCAATCGCGAAGTACGAGTACAGTATCCTGACACACGACACACACTGTACATCGAAGCACTTATGGTCCGCGAGATAGGATCGGACAATACGGCCCTTCGAACAGTATTGGCCTTTATTGCCGGTCTGCCAGCGGGGAAACCCGCCATGACTTTCGGATATCTACCAACGAAACAGGGTCGGCTGCAGATGACTGCTGCGAGCCGACTTTCACCTAAGGTGCACTTGGCTCTTCAGTACCTCATACGCAACTACTTTCGTATTGAAAACGTTGTTGCTGTACGACTCGCCAAGAGCCTGACGAAGCTGCCTGCCGCACCCTATGCAGACAGCTGTACACTAGTGCACTATGATAACGATGTGACCCCTGGGTTTCATTACTATGAAGCTGATGGCACTGCCTTGAACATCTATGACATCACAGGATCCACACACTCACGCATCATCCAGTGTCTTAAATCCAGGAAGCCTTCTGCTGGGTTTGACCAAGACCTCACTAAGTTTGAGGAACTCGCTGACGGTCCACCACCGAGCGAATCACCTCCAGCAGCTGCTCCTGAGGAGCCTCCTACGGACAACGATGGTCGACTCCCGACCATCATAGAGGAGACAGAAGAAGATCTGGATGCTTTTGTCTTGAAGTCGTGGTATGCTGAACTGATGGATGACAGAACACTCCTTGAAGCTGACACAGAGGAAGTCATGCATACAGTTCCTACATACATGACAGACACACAGTGTGTGTTAGTCTCTACGACCTGTGAAGATGTGCAAGGCCACTTGCCGGAGCGGGGTCACCCGCCAGGATACGACATGGACACTTCTTACTACGTTCCTTTATGCTCCACGGAACCGGATAGCAAATATGATCTGGACTCCGATGAGCACGGGAAGTATATCGAGCTCTGCTTCACTGCAGACATGTCCAAAGTCGTCCTGTCCGAGCAGCAACACCGACTGTTGGATGACAGCAGCGTCACAACTATGCGAGTATACGTTAGCGCTGCCTCCAAACGTGCCGTGGTCGTCAAGGAAGACGATCTACTCACGAAGGCCGACATCCAAGCAAATCCGGTCAAAGTTTCCAAAGCCCTCTACACAGAACTGAAGACTTGGCTTGACAACAAATGCTTCCAGATGACTGACTTAAGCAAGGCGTCTAACATCATGACGTCACGCTACGTATACAAATGGAAGTTTGTCAAGAACGAAAAGGGCGAAATGGAAAGGACGATCCGGTTACGCTTGGTACTCCGTGGCTTCATGGACCTCGAAGCCTTTGATGTCGAAACCTTCTCTGGCACGGCAAGGAGGTCAAGCCAGAGACTGCTCGCAAGTTCTGCTGCATGCAACAAAGCTTGGATCATCGCTTCCCTGGACATCAACATGGCTTTCTTGAAGGGACTGACCTATGGCGAGCTCGCCGCGGCAACGGGCGAGAAAGAACGTGTGGTGTGTTTCACACTACCACCTGGGTCAGCAGCTGTCCTTCGCACACTGCCAGGCTTTGAGTCATATGACGAATCAAAGCATTGTCTCCGGTGTCTGAAACCGGGGACGGGCACGAAGGATGCTCCCAGGGCATTCTCGCTGAAACTCAGGTCCATCACTAGGAGCTTTGGGCTACAACCTACTTCATACGACGAAGAGTTCGAGATGAGCCCAAACCTCTTGACAGCCAAGCACGTTGATGACATCAATATGACTGGGAAGGAAGAGGCTATCGACAAGTATGTCAAGTGTGTTGAAGATACGTTTGGGAAGTGCAAACTGAACAAGCACACATACACGAACTGTGCTGTTCGGTACAACAAGACCGATGATGGGAGCGTCACTCTCGACCAGGACGAATACATCAAACAGCTTCGTCCTATCACACATCCAGAACTCACAGGAGCTGATCCTGAAAGCAAGGCGACGAAGACAATTTCTGATATGTTCGTCAGTCTTCGTGGCGCTCTAGCCTATGCGTTGATCACGCAGGTATGGCTAATGGTCTATGTTGTCTCACTACAACGTATCCAAGAACCGACAAACATCCAGGTACGACGACTAAACGCGGTTACCAGAAAATTGCAGGCAGGTCCGAAGAAGATCGTGTATCATGCTATGACTCCAACAGGAGAAGTCGACCTGCATAGCGATTCTGGCTATCGTCGTCTCAACGGAGATGAAGACGACGAAGTCAAAGGCTATGGTATCCGCGGGGCTAACCTGCTGAGGCGTGGCCACACGCAAGCGGGGAAACCCGTCGTGCACCTGGTGGACGCATACTGCAAGTCTCATCGACTGCAAGTGCGTTCGAGCTACTCTGCGGAAACACTGGCAGCAGCCCACAACTTGGAAGACTGCTACCCGACCATTGTAACGCTCCACGAGCTACACTCGGGACCATTGACCCCCACACAGTTGAAGAACATATTGGAAATGGGTGGTCTATGTATCAAAGTCACTCTGACTATTGATGCCGAGTCTGTCTTCAAATCTTTGTCTAGCAAGGATCTGAAGAAGCCCACAGAGTGTACTCTGCTTGGGCACATCAGCTGGATTCGCCAGATGATGGAACGTGGAATCGTGGAAAGCGTCCAATGGTGTGACACGCGGGATATGACTGCCGATGGTCATACCAAAGGTAGCATTGACCGCGCGTTGCTCCTACAAGTAATGGCCGGCCAGCAATCCTTCAAGCACGAGCTGAAGAAACATACGCCGTATAGGGCGGGCAGGTCGTCTCAGGACGGCCCTGCCTCCCGAGCCAGCGGGGAAACCCGCGGGCAGGTGCGCTTTAGCAGCGAGGAAACTCGCCGGTAGCGAGGCTACTCGCGCGCCCTTTCCTTGTAGGCAGCCGCTGCTGCTTAGCACTGTTTTTCCGCATAATAGAAGTGCGGTACCTGCTCGTCTCCTCCCCCTCCGACTTTAAACGGAGAAGGTTAAAGGCGAGGTATAAATCGAGCATGTACCGCTGCCGTGCCTGGCTCAAGCCGGGCCCGGCCTGATATGTGACTGTGCCTCACCGAGGCGCACTACTTGCATCTGAGATCGGAAAACATCCTTTCCATTGACGATGCCCATCTTACTCTTTACTCCAGATCCCATGCTTCGTCTCGCTCTCTTGCTCATGCGATATGAGCCAAAGCCTGGGATATGGGAGCGCCTAAGGCGGACTACATACCTAAGCTTACCAGCCTGTTTTCGACTGTACAACCATGGGTTTCTGGAGGTCCGCGCGGATTGTTTGGATGGGGTCTGGATCCCCCCTGGCGTTCTTGTCGCGCCAGGGAGGGCCCAGCGCCGATCCAAGAAATATATGCTGGCCTTGGGAAGTTTATGCTGGTGCCGCTGATTTCTCTTCTAGGTGAGGATGGGCGCGGGCGAGCTCGGGGTACCTCGCACTAGCGGCAGCGCTGTCAACTGCCGCCTGATCCTCATCATCCCAGGGTTGCTGCTCTTGTTCTGGAGGTGCGCGTCTGTCCGGCAGCGGTCTGTGTAAGATTTGTTGTAGGGGAACGGGCCCGTCTGCGAGCGCATGCTGCATGATAAAGCGTTGCCGGGCCAACGCGTCGGCCATTGCAACACGCAGTCCGCGCAATCTCTTATAAGTGCGCCTACTGGTACGACCCTTGCCGGAGCATTCACCAGTGCGCTCTCGGCGAACATGTTCGGCACGTACTTACGGCATTGCAGATCTTGTTATGAAATTCGCAGATTTGTGTTACTTGCGTGCCAGAGTGCATCCGCAAGCACACTTCACATGGAGCGCGTCAGTTGAAGCCTCAATTCCTGCGTTTCCCCAAGGCCGCACCTGTATTGTCTGACATGCGAAACACTTCGTTTCAGAATAAGAGTAACGTGCGCCGCAGTCAAAACAGCCCATGCGTAGTCGACTGAGCGGCGATCCTAGCCTAGTTCAGTTCAGCGCAGTCCAGTTCAATTCAGTTCAGTTCAGTTCCTCCCCCATGGCAAACCTCCGAATCCTCCCCTGACGCCCCGTGTCCCTTCCGTTCTAGCGCAGCCCCCGCCCACGCGCTCTCAGGTCGTGGTGAAAATCCGGGTTCTCCTTTTCACCAACGTGATCCGAACCCTAATCCGAACTCGAATCCATGACCAGTCCTTATCCTCCCTTTCCCACTCCTAGTCCTGCCCCTCCCCTCCCCCTACTCCTCCACCCCCCCCCTTCTGCCGAAGGGCGCCTTTTTATGTCAGACTGTCGGGGGTATATCCTGGTCCACCGACGCTAAGTTCAGCACCTCTCATGGAGGGAGCGGGGTGGTGGTAAGAGGGAAAGGAGAAGGAGGGACGAAAACCCCTTTTTTTTCATTCCTCCAAGACGGTTTCAGTCGCAGGCCCTTTGTCGTCTCCGTCGAGTCGTCGTTCCGCTCTTCCTCTTCACCTCCAGGTTTGTTTCAGCAATTTTCTCCCTCAGCAAAGGGTGAGGGCGGGGGCTACGGTGGCACCAAGGATCATCCGGATGTTTCCACCATCCTGAGTCCTGAGGGTGGGGAAGGGGAGAGGGAGCAGATGTTGGAAGGGTTTCAAGGGGGGTCCTAGGGATCCAAGTGGTCTTGAGGGAGCGCGGGGGGGGGGGGGAACCTTTCTAGATACCACGCGGCGAAACTATCACATTCATCACGACCGGGCTTCTGGACCCCACCCTTTTGCGGCAGTTCTCGAGCCAGATCGATCCGTGAGGGCCTCCTGGGGCCCGAGATGAGGCGAATTTGCCCAGATCTTAAGAAGGCCTGGAGGCCTCGCACGGCGCGGTCGACTTCGGTGCTCTGGGCTTCGGGGGTGCTCCTCTTGCCGCCCGCCCCCCCCGAGGCCCCCCAGGGGCGGACGCCGAGACGACCGCAGCGAGCCTGCGCGGCTGTGCTCCCCCTTTTCTGAGCTCTGCTCGTCTCCCCCTCCGTCCTCGCCTCCCTCAATGAGAGAGGGGGAGAGGGAGAGAGGGAGCGCGCTAGCGGACGCTCATAAGCGTCCGGCTTGCCATGGGCGTGGCGCGCGCTCTGCTGGACGCGGTGCCCGCGCAGTGCCGGCCTTGCGGCGCTGCCCGGTGCAGGGCGGCACGTCGCGGCGGCGGCTGCGGGTAGCCCGCTTATCCTCCCCCCTGTTTTTTCTCCTGTGCCTTGAGGGACTTGCGATTGGACTAGTGCGAGAGAGGGAGAGAGAGGAGAGAAGAAGCCATTCACGTCAGAGGTGCGTTGGCTAGACTGCGAGACAAGCCGCTGTAGTAGAGTTCTGGTTGCTCTGCTCGGGAAATCGGAGTGAATATGGCGGAAACGCGGTCTCTTGTTTCAAGGTGTTTGCGAATTTCGAAAAAAAGCTTGGAAGCACCCGCAGAGCCAGGGCAGGGACCAACGGCGAGGGGCACGGGGGGACGGGAACAGGTCAAGCAATGCCCGCACATGGAAACAATATTCAACTAGATGCAAGGCAACATGGATGGTTCGTTTTCGATTACCAACATCCAGCGGGCTTCGGGACTGTACTCGCTTCGCAGCTGAGACCACTGTCGCCTCAACCCAGGGTGCTACACAAAAGCCTACGCGATGGCCCGCAACCAAGAGCGACGGGACGACCGGCCGCGTCGACGACGAGGGGGGGACCCCAGGGCCAATGGCAGGCGACCGAGGAGAGGGGGGGAAGGAAAGGGTGTAAAAGCGCAGGCGTTTCACGGAGTCTGACCGCCCTGGGAGGAGGAGGAGGAGGAGGAGGAGGTGGAGGCGGAGGAGGAGGAGGAGGAGGAGGAGGGGGAGGAAGCCACTGCTGCCCTGGATGAAGGGATGAAGCGCCACACCGGCTCCCAGAACTGGCGTTTGCTAAGCGCTCCTGAGCGTTTGCGATACAGTCCTGGCCTGCTATTATTTCCGCAGGTGCCTTTCCTATAGGACGGCCTTGCTCGCTGGCGTAATTATCGTGAGGGTAGTTACTCTGCAGTCTGATCAACTCACCGAGCGCGTTCCGCTACTCGCCAAGTGCAAATTCGCCGCCGTCCAGAACATAAACAACATGTCTTCCTCGATGTACATAGATCGGAAATCCCGCGCAACGGATCCAGGCCATTAGCGAGCAGCTACTTTGCGAGTAGCGGAACGCGCTTGTCTATGAACCCTCCTCCCCGCCCGCATCTTTTGCCTGGGACGTCAGGGGGCCCCTCCCCTTCTCCCGGTCTTTCCATGTCCCTCCCCGCCTGGCTCCAGACCCTTCTCCTGCCGATGCTGCTCGTCCTCCTCCTCCGCCTGGGCTTCCTCCTTCTCGTCCTCCCCCCTCCCGCCGTTTCCCTCCCTCTTCCCGCACCTCGTCGTCGTGCTTGTTCGCGACCGTGCTTGTCGTCATCCTCGTCGTCCTTGTCGTGTTTTTTCGTCGCCGTGCTTGTCGCAACCGTCCGTCATCCTCGTTGTCCTTGACGTGCTTTCTCGTCGACGCCGTGGCCGCGGCGGCCGTCGCCGTGGCGGCGGCCCCGGTCGTCGTGCCACGGTGGACACCATCGTCGCCGTCGTCCTTTTTGCCGACGTCGACTCCTCCCCTTCCTCCTCCTCCTCCTCCTCCTCCTCCTCCTCCACCTCCTCCTCCTCCTCCTCCTCCTCTGGCGCCGTCGTCTTCGCCGCGGTCGTGGTCGTCGCCGTCGTCCGTGACCGCCGCCGCCACCGCTCTGCGCAGCAGCCAGCCCACGCGGTGGCGGCGTCGCCCGCAGTGTGGCGATGGCGGCGGCTGCGCCCCCGCCAGCAGGCGGCAGGCCGAGCAGGCCGAGGCGGAGCGGTTGGCGGCCATCGAGGCGCGGCGGGCGGGGCTGCTGGCAGCCGTTGCGGCCGCGTTGCCGGGAGCGCGAGGCGCCGCGCGGGCGGGCGGCGGGCGGCGGCGAGGGGCAGCGTCAAGCCAGGAGGAACACGGGAGGTGGAAGAGCTTCTTTCCCCGTTCCCCTCCTCCTCCTTCTCCTCTTCCTCCTCGTCCTTTTCCTCCTCGTCCTCATTCTCCTCTTCCTTCTCATTCTGCTCCTGCTCCGCTGCAGGTGCCGAGGAGTATGAGGAGGAGCAGGAGGAGGAGCAGGAGGAGGAGGAGGAAGAGGAGGAGGAGGAGGGGGGTATGCCTGCAGGACCCTTGGCCGAAAAGGCCTCGCGGGCTTCGGCTCAGGGCCGAGTCCTCCTATGATTCCCCAAAAGCAGAAACCAGCACGAGGGTTTATAGCACAGAGGCTTATGCCCCTCGAGTTCGGGAAGGGTACGATGCGAGTCACTGTAGTGCTCATCGTCCCACTGATTGTGTGTTGCATTGCATGAAACGCACCCCCCCAATGCCCCCATCCACTCAAATGCCAACTCCACACTCCCAAGTCCAAGGACGAGCAAAAGGGGCAGCTAACTGTCTGCTTCAGTGGCGTAGACGCTTCAAACAGTTCTGCTAGTCTGATGCTGCCGGCTCTCGCTTGTGTTCGGAGCTTGCTAATCGAAGACGCCTACGGCGAATCACCGCCGCCCCCTGCCCCTTTGGAAGCGCCTCTGTGGCCGACAGCTGGGCCAGAGCTTGGCGAAGCTATCGGCCGTCTTGGAGGCCTCTTGGGGTCGTCTTTGAGCATTATTGGGCCGTCATGAGGTCATCTTGACGGCCTTTGGAGCCATCTTCGCGCGATTGTGGGGGCCTCTTGAACCGTCTTGGGCCGTCGGAATGCCGAGAATAAGCAAATACCCGAATCCTTCAAACACCTAAGGAAAACCAATGATTTTGGCCTCTTCGAGCCCTCCTGGACGACGTCTCAGGGGCGTATTGAGGGCCTCTTGGGCCGTCTTGGCCCATCTTGGAGGCTTCTTGAGCGGACTCGGAGTCATCTTTGGCTGTCTTGATGGCGTCTTCGGCGGACTTGGAGGCAACTTGGACCATCTTGGGCGATCTTGGAGGCCATCTTGGGCCAATGTGACCATCTTGGAGGCCATCTTGAGGCGTCTTGGAGGATTCTTTGTGGACGTTGAGGTCGTTTGCAGGCTTTCCGCAGGGCCGGCGGGACGGGCCGAAGCGCCAGGGGGAGTTCTTTTGGAAAAAACTAAAACCAAAACCGAAAGTGTCCAGCACGCCAGGCACCCCTGCGATGAATCGACAGGGGGCGGCGGATCGAATGGCCCTCGGCCCATCCCGCCTCCGTGCCTGGATTGTGGGTCAGAGTCCTCAGGGATGCTTCTTGGGGTCTCTTCGGAACGCTCGTGGGGCCCTCTTGGGAGCAGTTTTGGTGCCTCTTGGGAGCCTCTTGGGGGCCTCTTAGGGTCATTTGGGCCTCTTGTGGGCCTCTTGGGACCCCCTGGGGGCCCCTCAGAGCCGAGGGCTCGAAATGTCCGCTCGGGCCCCAGTCTGGGCCAACTCTTCTGTGGAGCCTTTTGGGTCGCCTGGGGCGCCTCTTAGGGCTGTCTTGGGGCCCTCTTGGGCCGTTTGGGGGCCCTTTGGATGCCTCTGAGGCCGTGTTCGGGCGATCTTGGGGGCCTGCAGGGCTGCCTGGGAGCAGCGGGAAGCCGACACAGCGAGAAGCCACAAACCTTCAAAAACCTCAGGACGGTCAAGGATTTCGGTCATGGAGCCCTCTTGGGGGGCCTCTTGGAGCGTCTTGAAGGCCTCTTGGACCGTCTGGGGGCCGTCTGGGGTCCTCCTGGAGCCTCTTTGGGGCCTCTTGGAGCCCCGCCCGTGTTCAGGTCTTCTTGGTTCCGGAACAAGTAACGCGAGAAGACGCAGGGGAGCCCAGGGGAACAGCGACAAGCTCCGAGAGATTTGGCAATTTGAGCTCTGGCCCCTAGGAGACTCCTCAGGAGTGAGGGTTGAGGCTTAGAGGAGGTGCCTACTTCTTGTGTCTTACTGCTCAGTGTGTTCACGCTTTCTGCGCCAGCCTGTCCCT